AGGGTTATTTAGATGGCATGGGAAAAAATTCCGCTCGTTTCTTCTGGGGATATTTTGCCTCTTGTGTGATTTAATGTAAAATGCATACATATTCCAAGGAGAAGGAGTTGTAGCTCCAGTTCCCTGTACTTCCAGATGAGCGTAACTGCTTCCCAGCTGCTAGGGTTGCTTACCTGAATTTACACCTGCTTGTGCCTGCTTTGGGCCAGGACCCCCACCTTCCTGGCCGGCTGCACCACGCATCATATTAACAGATACCAGACTGAGTCTTTATGGCAACTCTCAGGGGTGGTGGCTGCCCCCACCACCATCCAACCCAAGGGAGCAGAGCACTTAACCCATTGCTTCCCACTTCACCCATGGGTCTTTGTGTCACTAGGTTGCCACTGTTGTCATAGCCATCCAGCAAGGCATCTGTGGCCAGGCGAGGGCTGGGCAGCTCTGGTTGCCAAGAGGGTTGTTGTCTGCAGGCACCACTGTTCCCTGCAGAGAAAGGAGGGAGGAAAGGAATTAGGAAGGCATGATTATCCTCAGGTTATTCAGAGGCAGCAGTCTCTCTCCATGCATTCAGCAGGGGATGCTGGCAACTGGGCTAGACAGACAGGTACCTATCCTGTCTGTCCACAAGACAGGATGAAGTCATACTGAAATGAGGCAACTGGCACAGACAGACTTGGTAACACCCACTACTTTCTGTCAGATTGTCTTTCTGATTAAAAGATCCTGGTTTCTGGGCAGGTGAAGAAGGGGAGGAAGAACCACAGGGCAAGACTGCCATTCTGCTTTGCAGGACTTTCTTTTTTCTCTGCTCAGCAGTACTGTATCAGCAACAAAATAAAAATAGTATGTAAAGAAGGACCCATCCGAAGCCCAGTCATAAAATATCAGGCCACCTTCAGCTCTCAGCTTTAAGACATCAAGTGTGACAGCCCTGCAGCATTTGGTCTGACTGTTTGCTTTAACCTCTCATGGGTGGTTAATACTACCTAACAGAGGAGTAAAAAGTTTAGAATTCTAAAACACTCTTTCAATCCTGGTAATAGTTATCCCTTAGCAATGTTTGTGTTTTATTAACTCAGAACTAATCCTCTTCTGTCATAGGAAAGAAAAAAGATGTAATAGCTGTGAGAATTGTGGAGCTTATTTTCAGATAGATGCCTCAGCATTTTGGTATTTTCTGTGGGATAACTAGTAATACAGGAAGGCTAATACATATGCAGAGCTTTCATTTGCTTCTGTGACAATTTGCTGGGGGCAAATTGAACTGTGTCATGAGAAATGGTGTCGCTTACACACACACGCCTGT